AAGAGTCTCATTTCTTTACTTGTTTATTTTTATCTTTTATTTTATTACCCTTTTATACTCAAATTATCACAATTTCTAGCTTTGTAGTGCCTGCAGTAAATGACTATCAGCCTGAGGTAATACTCGAGTCTATCAAGAATAATATTCCGTATACCTTTCTGGTTGACAAGTCGCTTTTGCGTAGCGAGAACAAGAGACACGTTGATTCAGAGATTAACAAGAAAACCAGCCGACCACCTTCCTCAAATAATATTGAAATAAATGGCGGTATAAATGGAACCTCCGAATCTGTAGTCGAAGATAATGAAGAAGACAGTGGCAATATCTCTGCAACAGCTGTGGCTCGGAATTTGTTCGGTGGTGATATAGAAAATGTTGATTTGTCAAACTTTGAATACGGATTTAATCAATTTAAAAATCGCCTCACTACTTCAATCAATGAGTCGACAGACGAAAAGCTTTTTACCACAGTAGTTAAATATGTCTTCCATCTTATGGATTCGATTTAAATAGGAGTGAAAGACACGCTTAAACTGGAGTTTGAAAAAAAAAACTTCAGAAATTGTTTGTTTGTATTAGAAGCGGATGACAAAGAAAAAGTGTCCATCCTTCTGTGACGCAATGGAACAAGCTTCGAAAATCAATTGACCAAAAACTTCGCCTGGATTTGGAAACGAATCAAACGAAATATCACACCTCCTCATATCCTGTATTCCAGTTTGTATAACCTTTTTCTGTCATTTGGTTCGCTTAAATGTACGAAATCTGGTTCACCTTTGTTTGACAAGGTGGCACGGAAAAGTGCAGTAAATGTTCTCGTTGCAGTAAAGGATGGACATGTGTCAGACCCCCCGGGTCTGTCTTTGTACCATGTTCGTGGTAAAGATCGAGACGGTCTAACTTTGAATAGATGTATCAGTGGATCCAATTCCTTAGAAGGGGGAGTTCATCAGAACATAACTAAAAAGTTTGGATTATTTGGAGCAGGACCCGAGTTAACTAATTGTGCTCTCACAGAATACAGACTTAGGCACAACATCGATGTAAATATCTGAACTTTTTGTCAAAATGAAGTTTTAACTTATTTTTAATAAGTTGGTACGCTGAACAGATTTGGATATGAGCATAAAGGCCATTATGACCCATGGATCAATCAGCAGATTGAAAAACTGAGATTGTCCTTGCATATTCCCGCAAGTCGACTTAACTCTTTACCTGTACCAAATGCATTAGGGGGTGCCAAACATTAAATTTTTTCAAAAATCGCGGGAATTTTATTTCAAAGTTCCGGGAATCTTTTTAGGCTGGGAAAACTCGTCATAAGCCAAATACAGCCCCAGCTTCCCCTTTTCACTTTAAACCATTTTTCATAAATATTATCTTTTATTTTCAACTTTTAAAATGCCCAAACAATCTATTAGACAACAAACTTTGAACGAGATGAAGTCTTTGCTTAAGCACAATGTTATCATTGAAAATGAAGAAGAAGCGGAAGAGATGCACGAACTCTTGAGTGGATTAGAAACGAAACGTGTTCTCAACAGTGGACCTGGCATTCCTAAACTGGACCAGTATCGCGAGTATTTCCTCGAGTGGAATGACGAAGAGTTTGTTAAGATTTGTAGAATGAATAAGGACTCGTTCTTAAAGCTCCTTCGCTTGATTGAAGGTCACGCAGTCTTCAACAACCAGAGTTTCATTCCTCAAAGGGATGTTCACGTTCAACTTGCAGTAACCTTGAGACGATTAAGTCACGATGGAACTGGTAACAGCATTGAGCAGATTGCAACTTTGTTTGGAATCAGCAAAGGCTCTGTCACTGACTACACCAACAGCTGTTTTAAGGCAATCACCGACAACCTTAAACACTTGATGAGCTGGCCTAACAAGGAACAAAGAGAAAGAGCAGCTGAAGCCATCAAAAAGCAGCACTTTTTTCGTAATTGTATTGGATACATCGATGGCACCCATTTTCGCCTTTCTCAAAAGCCTACCAACTGCCCCGAATCCTATTACAATAGAAAGGGGTTCTATTCTGTGAACTGTCAGGTTGTTTGTGATGAACGAAAGATTATTTTGGGTTTCCAATCAGGACAAGCAGGATCGATGTGTGATGCCACATGTGTAGAGCATGCTAGCTTCATGATTAATAGAGAAGCCAAGTATTTCACATGTGGCGATGCTGCAAGCCATGAGTACCTTCTCGGCGATTCCGGATATGCTCTTCATCCATTTGTGCTTACTCCTTACAGAAGACCCCAGGTTGTAAGTTCGGTGAAGTGCGAAGACTTCAACAGGGTTCACTCTTCCGCCCGAGTTGCTGTTGAAAATACCATTGGTGTATTAAAGGGAAAATGGAGAATCTTGAAGAACATTCCGATTCAGATCAATTGTGAGGAGGATATCATGAGAATACATGAATTGGTACATGTATGCGGTCTTTTACACAATTATTTGATCTTGGAAAATGACAATTTTGACGGTGATTTTTATGAGGATGTTGACGTCGGGCAGTCGAGATTAGACGTGGTGTTGCTGGAGTCATTTGACAACGTCAACAGTGTTTCCAGCCGTATATTGAATACTTGGAGGAATTCCGTTGCTGAAGTAGTTTTAGCAGATTATGCAGTACATTTCGGATATGATAATGAATAAACCAACTGAGTTGATATAATGTGCATTTGTGTTGAAAGGATTGGATTGCGTCCTTGCTGTGAAGGTTTCTGAACAATGAATGTAAATATATTTGTAAGAGGAAAAAAAAAACTTTATTTAAAAAGAAAAAAATATTAATCTACATCTGTTGAAGGATTACCGTCGTCGTGCTCATCTTCATCATTATCAAGATTGTAAAGATACTCTGTATCATCATATACATCATCATCATCGACAGGATCCCTCAGAGATCTACGAAAATCAGCCAGATGTCTGGTAATTTCCGTAAATGACGATGTATTGAAGGCGTTCGTTGTCAGACAAGTAACAAGCAATTGGGACATACCCAAATCGAACTCCCTCTGACTATTTTCCCTCAATACTTCGTCCCTTCTCAACTGAGCCTCGCGATACTCAGAAGAAAAGTCTCTTTTGATCCTCTTGTTTCTCATGGCGTGATCGGGATCAACACGGATGCGATCAGCCGTTGGCATTTCAGGCTGAACGGTACCAGCGCGACTAACACCTCCACGACCACGACCACGAGCAAGACCACGAGCACGACCACGAGCACGACCACGACCACCAGCACCGCCACGAACACCAGCAACACGAGCACCACCAGCACCAGCACCAGCACGAGCACCACCAGCACCAGCACGACCAGCACCAGCACCAGCACGAGCACCACCAGCAACACCAGCACCAACACCACCACCAGCACGAGCAGCACTACCACTGTTGACATCGTTGTCATGGTCCACAGCATGATACGACCCAGCATCATCAAAATCTCCACCATCATCAAAAGAAAAGGAATCGAACAAATTATTCTCTGATGATGATTCAAATAATGGTGTGCGACTTGATGGCTGGGTATTAGATGGAACCAACAGAGGAGAAGAAGCAACATTGGTAGCTGGTTCTTCTACGGATGACGGCTGGCCAGACAAAGCTTCACCAAAAGCAGGACGAGGGAAAGAGAGAGGTTCGTTTGAGACTGGCCCAACAGAAGAAAAACGGAAAGAGGAAGAACGCTCAGTAGACACAGGTGCAACAGACAAAGACCTAGCAGCCAAAGGAGCACCAGAGGAAAGAGAAGCACCAGCAGCCAAAGGAGCACCAGAGGAAAGAGAAGCAACAGCAGCCAAAGGAGCACCAGAGGAAAGAGAAGAAACAGCAGCCAAAGGAGCACCAGAGGAAAGAGAAGCAACAGCAGCCAAAGGAGCACCAGCAGCCAAAGGAGCACCAGCAGCCAAAGGAGCACCAGCAGCCAAAGGAGCACCAGAGGAAAGAGAAGCAGATGATCTTGTTGAAGATTCAGCTGCATCACTTCCAACCAACAATCGACTGACCTCTTCAATCGCCTCTTGTTGACCACCAAAAACTGCAAAAGTTTGTGCCTCAATTGCAGCTAATGATGGCCTTACTCTGTTGGAGTATGTGTACTCGGTACCACCAGGGGCACCATGGAAAGCCACACAAAAAGGAGTTATGTTTGGTCTAACACCATGCAGAGAAGCCAAACGAGAAAATCCAACACACAAATGTTCACACTTGATCTCGATGGAGGTCAGTCCACGTTTAATGTCATCTGTAGTCAAGCCAAAACCGGTAGAGTTCATATCTCTTTCTACATCGCGATACTTTGCGAGTTGGCGTTCAAAACGTTTTCCAACCGATTTGAAATTCCAGGAAGACGGAATTACTTTATCTGCCAGAAGTTGCTGAAACAATCTCTCAATGATCTCTCTTTTTTTATCTGACTACCAGCTGAAGGAGCGGACGACTTTTGTCCACCAAGATATATCTTAAAAAGGTCTTGATTACTCTCAAAGAAACCAATCATAGCCTTAATTTGACCAGGTGTAGTTTTGGTTCTATCAAGGCTTTTATCTGCGGAATCGTTGTTGGAAGGACCGCCACCAGTGTTTCTGTTTATTTGATCAGACATTTTAGATTATACGTTTTAGAGAAATTTAAGGAGAAAAAAGGTAAGTTAAAAACTTAGAAAAACTTTATAATGCAAACACAGATGCGATTTGATGCTTTTAGATTATCATAAAATAAATAAAATGTTACATTTTCACGTCATATTTCCTTCTCAACAACGAATAGAAAATGAGTATTCTTTCCCGAGATTTCTCGGGAATACTTTTTCTTGCCCGCAAAATCTCGGGCACAAAAAATCGTTCCCGCAAAGTTTAGGGAATTTGGCTGGGGAAAAATTCCCGGGAATGTTTTTTAAAAATTAAGGAAATGATTTTTTTAATGTTTGGCACCCCCTATTGGTCCTTTGCAGTTCTAAGGAAGTATTTGGCATTAGCCCTATCTCGGACGATGAAATGGTGATCTTGTGTATTGAAAAGAACAATGCTTCGTCTCTGATCTCGAGCGAGTTGGACAGTTTAAGCTCTTCTATGGTATCTGACACGGTGCCATTACAGCTTCCATCCACCAAGCGTGTACGGAATAATAGATTCGAATACATAGCACGAAAGCAACAAGCAAAATTCGCAATTGTTCCAGTGCATTCAAATGATGAGAAGGCGATTTTTGAAAATATGCTCTCATGCAACTATGAATCATCGACCGAACCTGATTGGAGCCATTTTGCTTCGCATTGGAATACGTCTGCTGATGGTGTAAGCATATTTTACAAGACACCAAAACATCTAAAGTCATATCACATTATTTGCAAAGAAAACAAGTTTATTGCAAATTCTATCCAAAAACATCGTAACATCATGCAAAAAGTCAAATCTGTTATATCTGAAACTATGCAACCTCAAGTATTACCTCAAGCAAACCCACTTTTACAACCCTCGAACAATATTGTTACATCACCGAATAGGCTTCTCGTCCCAACAAGTAACCAAAACTTTTTTCATAAATATCTCACCCATTGTTCCCGTCTCACAGCAGACAGTTGCTCCTAGACAATTGATTTTAAGCAACTCCTACAAATTACTCCCAATCCTTATAAGCGTAAACGTATCAGGACATGTCAAATTTGTGGCGATTCTGAGACATGTCCTGGTCGTAGTAACAGAAACAGATGTAGATCCATCTCCCTTTAAAAAATAAACAAGCACATATTTAGAAAAACTCGAGACATGTTTCTCTGGTTACAGTTTTAAACCCCTAGACACGTATGGATATCTTTGATAAACGTCTCAATAAACTTCAGTTTTATCCGCATAAATTAAAATTTTTTTTTGGCTTCGCCCAAAAAAAATTAATTAAGTCTCGTCCCCCCAGACATGTCATACGGGCCAATTCTCTTTGCTTTTCTTCATCCTCATGGAATTGTGCGATTATGTTATGCTTATTCATGTTTACAAAAGTTAAAGAAAAAAATCAATTTAATTATTTTTTGACCGCTGCGGACTCACCCAAAAAACGTTGCGGGGAAAAAGGGTGTAATCTCCGGGGTGTAATTTTTCAGTAAATTATTTTCCCTGCGGGTGTGAAATGTGACTTTATTTAAAATAGTAAAAAAAACAAACTACAATTATTTGTTAAGATATATAAAGGGCAATAAACTAATAGAAAACCTACCAAAAGTGTATTGTTGGTTAAATGATTGTTAAGGATATCATAGATTATAATAAAGGAATCATCACATTTACATAATAATGGATGATCATGTATAAATATTCATGGCTCACACTTCGCCCCATTTGTTATCTTCAGAATCGTTGGTGTCTGTGCACAAGGTGACTCGCCTGGTGACGAGTAAAATATTATAATACCATAAAAGTATAGTACAATCCCATAGGCGGAATATTCGGTTACTGAATATTACACGCACTAAAATTTCTCTTTGGCATTTACGTAATGTCATCTGCGGAGATGAATTTAGATCCTCATGTACTTTTGTTTTTACTTTGTAAGGCAGGAATTACTTCATAATGTGGAAAAACGGTTTGTTTGACACGGAAAAATAAAAGATAAAAAAACAGGAAGAATAAGATTAATATTGCTTGCAGTCTTTTTTATTCTTATTAAAAGTGAATCCTTTTTTCATCTCTTAAAGAAAGGGGGGTATTTATAGTTATTTAAAGCGTGCGTAAAATTATGGGCTAGTTTGTGTTCACTTGGTATTATTGGCTGTATTTACTAATGACTGATGAGCCTTATCAGTGTAGCCAATCTATTATTCAAAATGGGATCTTCTATTGGAATATCTAGTAACCCTGAGTTGTAAATGTATAACTCAGGATATTTTTTATGCTATAATTTTTTATGAGTGTTATAATTTTAGGGGGTTCATTAACTATTTCTCATTCTCATGATTTCTTCACATAAATTTAATCAGGCAATAACATTGCTTCAATTTTTGAGAATTATAATTTTTCTGAGCAAGATTTTTCTTTCTCAGGATGAGAAAATATTTTTTAAGAAAAAGAAAATAATTAATGAAACCCCCTATTATGTACCAGTCGATCAAGGATGGATGGAATGATTTTATATGCAATTTTATAGGTTAAATAGTGCGATTTTAGTACACATAACATATTTATTTAAACAGACATTACGTATAACTAGTGTTCGAACTTTTCGAGCTTGCACCGATCTTGCGCCAGTTCGAACGAAGCTCGAACCGAGTTTTTGTACTCGAGCTTGCGCCACTTTTTTTGGGTTCGAGCGAGCTTCGATCGATGCTCGCTCGGCTAAAATGTCGATAGTAGTCACTTTACAGTTAAGGTCCTTGAAAGACTACAGATGGCATTTCCCCTTGATTTTAATTTTTTCTTCCCTTTACCATTTTTTTTTTTATATTTATGCTTTAATAATTCCAATTAAAATGCTTTGGACTTTTATTTAATTGTACAAGCAACAAACACATTTACCATAGAAAATGAAACAGTGTTGCACACTATACCCAACTAAGCCAATTTTTTACAGCAACCATAGTAAAATGATGTAGCAGAATTAATTTAAACTTTCATGTTCAAAAATCCAAATGTATTATTATATAGATGCAGTAATAGTTTGATTTAATTATCCGAATTTGGTGTTAAGGCTGGTGAAAAAAAAGTTTTTTTTTTTCTTTTTCCAACTTCTATTTCAATAAATAACAATTTTATTATCATAATTTTCTGTAATTAGGTGCTCTCAAGATCGGAAACCGAAAATAAATAGCCCATTTTTTATACAAAAATAGTGAAAAAAGTCTCTGAAATGTAGAGCTAAATTTGGACAAAATAATACATATACATATAAGGAATCAAATAAAAACATGATCAAAGTGATCTTGTTTTCAAAATAGTTTACTTGAAAAGGAAATGATAAAATAACGAACTTCTTTAAATCCAGTGTTTTTTTATTTTTATTTTTCTTTCCCTTTAATTTGTCAAATACATTTTATCACTTACCTTACTATGAACAATACCGAAGCTAATAACAACGCCCCCAACAACGTACGTGGTCCTGGACGCGGTCGTGGAAATGGACGTGGAGGCAGACGTGGACGTGGCAGACGCGCTGGCACTTTTGTGTTTGTTGTCGATCCTACCGTTCAGCAAAACACCACTCCTGTTAACAACGGTAACACCGAAGCTGACAGTAACGCCAATGTCGATGATGACGATGAGCCTGAACAACCATCTTCACGGTCCTACAATGTATGGCCTGATGTTGCTATTTGTATCCTCCTTGAAATTATGGCTGGTACCTACAGCTACTTGTTGAGAAGAAGCGATACTGCCTTAAAGCAGCTTATCTGGGTACATTCGGCTGCTTTGCTTAAGGAAAAGTTAGCTGAGAATGCTAGCACCGATGTACTCAGGGCTTTTTTGGCAAACATCAGCGAAACAAGTATGCAAAGAAAGTGGGCAGATATGAAGCAGCGTTTTACCAGAGTAAGAAATGCAGCAAGAGAAACCGGAGTTGGTGGAACTGTTCCAAACATGCCTTATTACGAAGAAATTGCTAAGATTACTCAGGATGATCCAAGCATCCAGCCTGAAGTTATCTACGAAAGCATCAACATGGAAGAGAGTGGTATCCGGTCTTACAGACGATTCAACGACGACAATTTGATGAATGCTATTGGATCCGATGGCCCCGAAACAACTTACTTGGCACCTACAGAAGTTGATCAACTTGTAATTCAAAAAGCATTTGCTGATCGATATCCTGCTAGAGATTCTACCAACAATGAAGGACCTGCAGTGCCATCATTTAATGAATCAGCATCCGCACCTCCACCACCAACAACAGCACCAGCAACAGCACCCACACCAACACCAACACCAACAGCTGTACCAACCTCAACACCAACAACCGAACCACCAACACCAACACCAACACCTACATCAGCATCCGCAGCACCACCAACATCAACAGGCGCAACACCTCCACCACCACCTTCATCCACACCTCCACCTCCATATACATCCGCACCACCTCCACCTCCACCTCCATATACATCCGCACAACCTCCACCTCCACCTTCATCTGCACCACCTCCACCTCCATCTTCATCTGCACCACCTCCACCTCCACCTTCATCTGCACCACCTCCACCAAGATCTACCCGTACATCGCGAAATAATCGAACTTCTGGTGAGCAGTCTTCATCAACTCCTGATCCTATTGAAGCTGCTCGTCAGTTGTCAGACGAGCATATGGCACGTGCCCGCCAACTTGGTGTAGAGATGATGGATCGCATGGCAGCATCTCAAAGGGAAGATCGAGAACAAAGACTTCTCGATGTTGATAACATGTTGCAACGTATCAGTCGTAATCGACAAATTGCATTGGAAGATATGCAAGCAAGACGGGGACAAGAGACCAGAGAGAGATACCTTATGTTCGAAGAAGCAAGAAGTAGACGAGAGGCTGACATGGAAGAGCATAGACGTAGACGTATGTCTGATATGGAGACTATCCTGAATAGATTCGCAGCCATTCGAAGAGGTGATAGTGATACCAATCTTAATGGTTCATCTTCTACTGACAACAATAATTAATTAAATAAAATAAATTTTTTAATTCATTAAAACCTTTTGAAAACTATGAAAGTCTATCTGTTCCCCTCATGATATTGTTTCTTCTTAAGATAGACATTGCCTTAAGACGGCGCATCCCGGCTGCGTCGATGGTAGCGCTGGTACCATCAAAAGGAAGAGGGGGTTCAAAATTCACCTCGTTTTCATACTGGTTTCGGCGATCTGCCTCCACAAAACCCTCGAAATCCAATCCTCCATCCAACACTGCCTCTTCAATGTCGTTTTGATTTATACAAATGTTGTGTAAATCACAGCAAGATATGATAGTTTTGGCCATTCTATCAACACTAAGCATATACAAATGCTTCCAAAGGAATCTCCACCGGGATGTGAGTCCACCAAATGCATGTTCTATTTTTATGCGAGAACTAGAAAAGATTTCATTGAAAATCTTTTCTTCTGCAGTGCTTTCACGTCGGCCATGAAATGGAACAATGAGGTTTGGCAGCAAAGGGTAAGCCGAATCTAGGTCACATCATTAATAATTTGTACACTATGGTATGATTAATGAGTTTACCTCCCAAAATATAAGTGTTTGCGGGACACCATCTGGCCGCATCAAACAAAAGTTTATGATAGATCACACTGCTAGTAAACACTCGGGCATCATGGTTTCTGCCTTAATATAATAACAAACGGTAAGCTGCTATATCATTTTTTATCCTTCCATACGAACTTACCGGAGTGCCCAGTTTTTACGTACATGAACCGAGTACGGGCATCGCATATGGCCATTAAGTTCATAGATGCGTGGCTCTTTCTATCGACATATGCATTTCCGTTGATTGCTGGCTTTTGAATGACGACCAGCTTGCCATCAATCGCACCTAGTACACCAGAAAGTTTTGTGGCATCAGGTCCACCAAGTTCTGAAAACTCACGAGCATTGTTTAAAGCCCTATCTCTGTCGTCGATAGGCCACGTTATAATTTCGGGAGTAATCTCCAACATGGCATCAATAAATCTGTTTGTGAAATTATTGAATGATCCGGCAGTTACTCCAAGATGAGTTTCAGCAATGCGATAACCAAAATGGGTGTTGGCAAATCTCCAAAGCACACACGCAACTTGGACTTCAACAGAGTATCCACCGCGCAAAATCGATCCGAGATAAGCAGAACATCTACTTAAACGATTGACGAGCCACTCAAAGGTACTCTTGTTAACACGATAATGTGCTCTATAACTGTGGCGGCTGTTACGATCATCTGACAGGTTAGGGTGCTTGATTGTCCAGTAAGTTTCATACGTGTCCATACGCTCGGTTCTAACAACCCTTCTGTGGACTTCTCTGGTCATCATCCAAGGGCTGCTTATAAAAATATAATAAAAAATGTCATAGTTGACAAGAGCGGTTGCATGTAAAATTGTTTCCCTGATCCAAAGTTCAAACAAGGAAAAGACATCATGGTTGCCTTGGGTGCGGGCGAAGTCTGCAACAACGCGCTCTTCGGCAATGGCTACCTCTTGTTCAAGCGTTTGCTCTTCCAAATCGTACTCTTCGTCCATTGCACTGATTTCGTCCACCAAGGCATCGAAATATTGCTCTTCGTCTTCGAAATGTTCAGCGTCATCTTCCATCCAAAGTTGTTCTTGCATCATGTCGAAGAAAGTTTCGTCAATTGGGTTCATGTTAAATAGGTACTTTAAAAAAATTAAGATAAGCGAAAAGGAAATATTTTATTTTTTATTTTCTTTGATTTAATAAAATCACGTTGGTCCTTTAGTAGATTCGAAAGTGAAAAGCTGTCACGTCATCACCTGATCATTGAATTTTATTTTATTGTCTAATTTAAGAAATGGGGTACACTCCCAAAAAAGGCTCGATCACCATTCCGAATTTTACCTTGAGAGCACCTATTAACATCACTTTGACGTGCACTTTGTGTAATAAAAAGGGCGAGCGAGTTCGAGCTATCGTATTCGCAACCGAGCCGAGCTTAAGAAACTTCGAGCGAGCTTCGACTGGAACACGATCGAAGCTCGCTCGAGAGTTTCGATCTTCATTCCGAACACTATCCCTAACCCGCAAACAGCCAAATCGAAGGTACACATATATTATCTGAAGCTAAACTTGGTTATTTTGATATTAACACAAGACTTTAACGTAGTATTTTGCAACAGGGCAAGAGGCAACACGAAAAGATGTAGAGCGTGCGTTTGGTGTTCTCCAAGCGAGATTCGCCATGGTTCAAAGACCAGCTCGGATGTTTAAAAAGAGGGATATAGAAACTGTGATGAACTCTTGCATCATTCTGCACAACAAAATAGTGGAAAATGAACGCGGGCAAGGTCTTGACTTGATTTATACTCCTCATTCTGCCACACCTTCATCATCTCGGGAGGAGTTAAGATTTGATGAATTCGTTGAGCAGTACTTCTCGATTAGAGATCCCCATACCCACAGCCAATTACAAAAAGATTTAATTGAACATTTATGGCAAAGGAAAGGTAACATGTAGTTACATATGCCGTAAATTAATAAAAACTCGATACATACATACAAACATATATGAAAGAAAATAAACAAAGAACAAAGTTGAAACTTTTATATAATTTTGAAAACACTGGTAAAAGTATTAAGTATTTATACCAATCAATAATCAGCGAAGCGATGGATGAACAATCATTCCTTCGATCTTGGAAAATAGTTGTAGCTATTTCCAAAGTTCAATCGATTTTTTAATCCACTTCAAAATGTATTTTCTTTCTTTAAATATAAACTAATTTTTATTTTATAGATGTTATACCGAATTTTGTAACTCTTAATCTACCTCTTCGTCTACCTCTTCTTTTTCCCCAACTTCGTCTCCCCCTGCTTCTACTCCTTCTCTTACTTCTTCTGGTACCTCCACGTCACTCCAATCTTCGTCTTTTTCGGCTTCTCTCAGCAAAGATGATTCACTTTCCTTTTGAAGACGACGTTCTTCTTCCCACATCCGAGCCAAAATTCTCTTCTTCTGTGCGATCAGTAATTCACGATAGTCAAGATCATCTACGCTGTATATGTTCTTTTTCATAATTTCGTCTTCTCTTGTCATCTGTAACAATCTAATCCTTTCCCTGTTGCATTCAAGCAAAAGCTCGATGTTCTTGGCACTTCTACTTTCACTTGCGGCCTTTAAGCCTTCGCCGCTTGCCAAACGTTTCTCTTTCTTGCGACCAATGGGTCGGACCTCGTCAACGTCATTTTCCACAGCTAAAGAATTGATTGCCTTTCGCTTTCCTTTTGCTTTGATAGCAGAAACCTCAAGCATCGACTTGAACTTTGGTTCTGAACGAAGAATTTTCCAGCAGTGCCGCAAATTAAACCGCTTACAGTGCATCTATTTTACAATGAACAATTTTTGGCTCCGATTTTTCAAAAAGAAATAAAAACTCTATCTCCTCGATGAATTCAACAGGTATCCAAAATCCGGCTCTATTACATTCTTTATTAGAGAGTTCTCCACAAACTAATAGAGCCGGAATTTTTTTTTTCACACAAAATATTTTACAGATGGCAAAACAAAATTGGCCATTTACAGTGGGGAGACCCAAAGATGTCCGGGAGGTGTTTTACAGTGCAAACATTCATAAAAATCCAACGGATATAACCCGGTTAAACATTTTCCCGCGATAAATTACATTTCTCTGTCAAAAAATATGAAAATCACCGGTCTAAAAATCCGACTTTTAAGTTCTGAAAATGTCCGTTTTAACAAAAATTGTTCATTGTAAAATAGATGCACTGTACCAACGTCTTTTTCGAAGAGCACGTCTGCTCTGTCAATCTATTTTGATTGACTGGTTGGTAAGTAATCGATAAATTTACATTATAAACAATCATAATAAATATTACTTACCATTTCGTTGGGCCCAGAGCCACTGGGAGAAGGACCGTTTTGAACCTGGTCATAGAAAGAAGTGTACTTTAAAACCAGTTTTTGGATGGTTTTCCATCTGGTATAAAAGCTATCGTCGTCACGATCTACCAATACAGCGGCTTGATTCGTTGCAAAGTTCTCACGAAAGTTGTTCCTGATACCAGCCCAAAGGGTGGCCATTTTTTGTCCATTTCCAACGATTCCATCTTTGGATATGGCAATCCATGATAGATACAGCTGCATATCTTCTTTGGTAGTCCAGTTTGGTGATGACTTGCGCTTGGCGCTTGAGAGGATCAGTTGGCATTTTTACTTGTAAAATTTGAAAAATTTATGTGTGGAAAGAAAAATAATGATTTTTTTTTTTGGATTATTTATTGTTCAGATTTAAGCAATATGTAATGAAAAGTAGAAAAATAATTAAATCTAACGAGATCGCGGCCCCAGCCCACTTCGGTAATTTTTTGACCTTCGCTTCGCTACGGTAAAAATAACCTACGTTCCTGCTGGGGGCGATCTCGCGCCTGCAGCGGGCCACCGACGCCACTCAATGCTTATAAATGGGATAAAAATAGATTTTATTGATAATGATTATTTTATGTTTAATTTTGTGTTCGAGTTAAAACTTCGTTAAATACAACGTTGTCTGTGAGTGTTGATAATGGCGGCTCTTTCAGTAAGATTATCTTGAGGTTAGCAGGGTCACGAACCCGAGATAAAGCAACATAAAGTTGACCGTGCGTGAAAACGGGTTTAATAAGGCAGATTGCAGCGAAAGAAAGAGTTTGACCTTGCGATTTGTTGATAGTCATTCCAAATGCAGGTTGCACAGGAAATTGACGTCGACGGAGGGTAAATGGTAAGTTAGCATTATCTGAAGATATTAATATGATTCTGGGAATCAAAACAATCAGACCTGCTCTATCACCAACAGCAATTTCAGCTTCTATTATATTTCTTGTGAAGTTTCTACAGATTAACCTTGTACCATTGCAAAGACCTTCAGCAGGGTTGATGTTTCTTAAACACATGATTGGCTGGAATCTTTTAAGAACCAACTTATGAGGTGGCATTCCTGATGGTTTTACAGCATTCAACGATTCGACAGGGAAATTGGTTGCGCTTGAATTTTGTGTCTCTTCAATCGAGTCATCTGATAAATATACCATGGATATACCTGGTAATTTTTCTGTCGCCAACTCATTGATTTCATCAACTGTAGAATTATGCGCCGCAAGAATAGCTTTACTAACAATGAATTCTCTGTTCTTGTAACAGTCTCCAGCTGAAAGTGAATCACCAAAAACGTCATTTACAACATCTTCGATTGACTCTGCGTACGTTACAATTGAGGCTGGTATGGATACATACTGATCATAAACTTGACAACGACCTTCACCTACTTCTAAAAGATAATCTTGGAAAGGGGTACCATTGTCAAGAATCGAATCTCCAGTGAGCCTCATATTCCGCTTGAGCCGCAAAACTCGACAGTCTCTAAAAAGAACAGAGTTTATGACACATGCATCAATTACGTCCGAGCGTGAACCAAACTTAATGATTGGGAGTGTCTGTCTGAAATCACCACCAAGAACAACAACCTTACCACCAAAAGGAAGCTGGAAGTTTCCCGTAATCTCTTGTAGGAGACGACTGACACATTCAAATGTCATTTTGTTCATCATCGGAGCTTCGTCCCAAATAATCAACTTAGAGTCACTAATTACTTGAGCACTAATGTCTTGTAACTTGATGTTACATACAGAAGATTCGTCGATATCAATTGGAATTTGAAAAAGTGAATGTGCCGTTCGACCACCAGGAAGCAGGGTGGCAGCAATTCCGGAAGATGCACACGCAAGAGCAATTTCACCATTTGATCGTACCTTTGCAAGTAAGGCATTGTATAAAAACGTTTTTCCTGTACCACCTGGACCATCAATGAAGAAAAAAGAACTTCTAAAGGGGGCTGGGGTTGTATCAGGGTATCATAGATGGCCGAAACAATCTCGTCGTATATGACGCGTTGCTCAGCATTTAAACTTCCACCCTCGTCGCCTTCATAAACAGCTACGTTGACTAACAAATCATCAGCATCATATTGTCCAATTTCATGGTCATAAAAGCTTTGAGTTCTTGCCATATACGCATTGTAGGATGATGGATCGGGCTGAGGTAACTCTGGAAAATTTGCGATATCTTTTTGATTTTTCAACAACCTATGAGCAATATCCACAATTGTCTGATTTAAAATAATTTTGTAATCCCGTTCACTTAAGTCCACTGGATAACCTTGCAAATCAAGACCTCTGCCAGGAAGACCTTGACGATAGGTATATTCAAAATCAGCTGATAGTTTATCCTTATGATTATCCCAAATCTCTTTGTAATTTGGAACAAAGTTGAATATTAGAAGGATTGCAAATAATTCTCTGATTTTCACTGAACTATTGCACAACATAAACGCCTCTGTCATTGCTCTATCCCATTCTTTACCATCTTCTAACAAATTGAGTGCTTGGGCGGCTTCTCGAAAGGTTGGCCATGTTCTGGTACCTGTGGACTGGATACCGTCATCATCAAAAGTGGCAGTCGTCTTTAACTCATCAAAGCTAGTGGCACCCTTAACGTGGAGAAGAAGAAGCCTTAAACAATAACGTTCGATGTCAGTAGCAGATATAAAATACATTCTTCCGATTTGCGTAAATTTTTGATTATTTTGACGTTTTTTCCATAAATGTGTTTTGGGATCTTGGATATAGTGGGCCGGAATATCGTTGTAAAATACAGACCGAGCATCAGCATCAGTTGCATTTAGTTTAAAATAGGCTGTCAAAGTAGTATCTCTATCCATTGCTCGCTGAATTTCACTATTGTTAGCACCCTCACTGAAGGTCACATTTTGCTGATTTTGTAAATGTACAGCTAATCTTTTGATAGCTGGTTGACATGAATGGGTGCGTTTTCCCATGATACGCCAACATGCTTCAATCGTAGATACATATCGAACACTTAACCAATTTGATATTTCGTCCAAATCATCATCATCATTAACAGAAATAGCAGCTGGTAGTTCAGTTGTGGAAGTGACAGGCGGTGTTTGAGCAGGCATTACTGCAATTTGTGCGCGATCAGAGCCTTTATAAATATATTTAAAAAGATATTTGATTGCTTGATTGCCTGCACAATATTCGACATTGATATGAGTATTATACTTGACAGCAAGATACAGATTGTGAGGAACAACCCAACGATTATCAGCATGATATCCATTTTGAAACAAAACAAAGAGATTGGTGGTGCGTCTTTTGTACTTTGCAAAACCCTTTTCATCGATGACAGTGTGGGGTTGGATGTCTTTAGGAAAGTGCTTACTGCACATTTTTTCCTTATTATCTCTACACATGCGAACCTTGCCATGTGAATCATTTAAAGATATACTGCATGGTGTATGCATCATGTGCTTTGTGATAGTTTTATAAGCCTTAGGAAAACGGGCGGGATCAGGGATTTCAGCCGAGATATACTTATCGATATCTTGAGCTGTTCGAAGCTTAGAGCACTCAGCCAGAATAATAACAACGTGAGCGTGAGGTAAACCACGTTTTTGATACTCAATGACATGAATTAAGCCCTTAACTTTTCCAAATATCATTTTGTCTTTGATATCTGCAAATATCTCTTTAAGTTTCAAGTCGAAAACTCGACAAATTAAATCTGGGCGATCCGAAGGGACCTTACCAGGTAGTAACTCATCCGTAATTTCTTTCCAGTTTGGGTTGCAGGTTATCGTGACAAATAAATCAGGTTTCCCCAAAGCTCTAACGACAGCCATAGCATCTTGTTGCATTTGGTGCAAGGCCCTTGGTGAGCCAGTATGACTGGAAGGCAATATGACCCTTTTACCGATCGATTCTCTACTCATATCTCCACCAACTTGCATATCGGCTAATCCAGAATAAAGCTCTGAACGTAGCGTACTTTGATTTGTACGTAAATAATATAATCGTCGTCCCTCTATCTTACAATACATATCGACTATGTACAAATGAAAAAGACGGCCAAAATGACAGGTCATTGTTTCCCCCGGTCTCACTTGTAAGCGATGTTGATAAAACTGATTCAACGATACTTTCTTTTGCGTCAGCCTGTTAGAACTTAAACTTTGTTCATCTCTCTCTAGATTTTGTCGAATAGCCTCATCACCCAAGTTCAATTCTATCTCTGTATTCCATCCATCCTCGCCACTTGGAAACATTAATGCAAAATGTAAGGAGTCGTAAGAGCGATGGCAATCATTCATTTTCTTAGGAAATCCATTTTCTGTCGAAAAGATAACCACTTCTCTACTGCCTCGGGTACTTTCATCAGGAATCGTTGCATCTGCAATATATGCCGCAACTTCATCCGCCATTGGTAAATCATACTGTCGACCCAGTCCTGGGTTACCTCGCACATAAACATAAAGGTCTTTAACAACCGGCGTCCCATCCACTATTTCTGTAGAAAGTCTCTTTCTTGCGCTATCAAACAAATTTGCATACGGAGATACTTCATCCATCATTCGATTCAACTGGGATACTAATTGACGGTCCAACACTTCGTTAAAATCTATATGCTGTTGTATACGTAGATTAGGATCACTAAAATAAACCTGCGCAAAGACAGGTTTTCTTCCTTCAGTAGCTGTTAATGACGCAGATCGATGGTATGTTCCTCCCTGAATTCTAAATGTGAACGATCCTTGATTCGATCCACTGAATATCTCATCTTCATGGTCTGCTCCAAATGAGGTGAACGCGAACGCGTTATTATACATTCGGATATTCTTTCTGAATTCGGTACTGCAAGGATGATCACCTGTTAAAAGCTTCTGCATAAGTGTAGTAGGCATATCCACAATATCCACATTTTACTTTTCCATTACTGCAGCAAAAAGAAAAAGATTGATTTGTTGATTGTTCTTCTTTGTATAGCATGGCGTGACAGTGAGGGCATTTTTGTGTCATCCCTTGTAATATATGACGACCAAAAAAGTCAGAAGTTGCGTCTTCACGGTAGATTCCTCTACGCTCACGGAGTAAATTGGTCTCTTCAAAATTGTCATGACACGCACGATTAAGGTTATGATCTCTGACTAAAAAAAAAAAACATGTCAGGGTTAAACTATCATAGCTGCT